GATGAGCACCGCCCCCTAGAGTCGAACACAACTGGACAAAAATTGTCTAGGGAAACCTTTATCTTTACCTTACCTTAGGTTACGGAAACAGCGTTCAATGTTAAATGCAAAACTGCTGCTAAGCTAAGACATTTCCAAAAGGCATGGTCTGTCACACGCCAAGTCTCTCCACCCATCCTGGCAACAGGCGATGTCTGCAGAGGATTCTTGGTGGACGACAGTTCCCTTCCCAAAGTTACGCCGCTGGCGTATCTGCTCAACAGGATTCCAGCCCATGAGTTATGTGACGAGCGTGATAATAAAGAAAGGCGGCATATGGAGCAGGAACCACAAGTCACTTTGGAAAAAGAACTTCCCGAGCAGAAAAGGGCTGGTGGGCTAGACTGGGGTGTCCTTCCTTCCTGAGGGGAGCGAGGGTCCGGGGGGCTGCGCCAGAGGACGGAGGGAGGGAGGGACTCATCCTTCTGGTCTCCCTTCTGCCAGACGTTGCTGACGTTTGTGCCTTCCTGGCCTCGGAGGACAGCCGCTACATCACCGGAGCCAGCGTGGAAGTGACGGGTGAGTCCGCGTGCACACACATGCACACACACATGCGTGACTCCTTGAGAAGGGGTAGTGTGGGGTAGTGGTCTCAAATCTGAAGAGGCAGAGAGAGTCCGGCCGGGAGACAAAGCAGGACCTCAGAGAAGCCACGATATAAATATAATCGTAAATGTGTAGAGCCGGGAGGGACCCTCTGGATCATTCAACCCAGCCCTTGTCAAGGGGAATTTGAACTCGCAGCCTCCACCAGATGCCTAAACCACTGAGGGGCGAGGCTCCCGTTCTCCCTGTGGGTCCGTCTCTGATCCTTTCCCCCCTTTTCTCCTCTTTCTTCAGGGGGTCTCTTCATCTGAGCCGTCCTGCTTCTCCTGCACGCCAGGGAGGCCACCTCCCGCCTTCCCCCCACGGCCCTTTTGAGGCAACACTCCCTGACTTCGAGCCTCCCCCACGGAGGGCCCTTCCCCTGGGGAGACTCGGCTGCACTGTGTGGACCATCGCGTGGTCTGGCCAAGGATCCGGGAGGCAGCGCGGGCAGGACCAGCAGCTTCTCGGAGGAGATGGAAGAAGCCACTCGGAGCCTCAGTCTTCTCCACAGGCTCTAGCTTCAAGTTTCAGCTGACTTCCTCGCCCTCTTCCTCCCCTCCCCTCCAAAAAAAACTTTTAAAAGGGGGTTTCTGCCTTAGTTGCAGTTTTTGGAAAGGCCAGCCGTGGTCGTAGGCTGAGGATTTCCTGTCCCTTTGGGTGCATGGATCCGTCTCTTCGGTGTGATTAAATAAATACAGTGGTGCCTCACTAGATGATAATCCGTTCCACTGAAATAGCTGTTTAGCGAAATCATTGTCTAGCGAAAAGCATTTCCCCATTGGAATGCATTGAAACCTGTTTAATGCGTTCCAACGGGGAAGAATCGTCGTTGTCTAGCGAAGATCGGCCGTAGGAAAGCCACTTTGCGAACCACTGATCAGCTGTTTAAATAGCTGTCTTGCGAAGCTTAGGTCCCGAAAACACCCGTTTTGCGAGTGCGGAGGGAAGCTATCAAAATAGTCGTCTAGTGAAAATTGACTTCAAAGTGTTAATGATGATGTATAAAGCCCTAAACGGTTTGGCACCTCGGTATTTGGCAGATCGCCTTCTCCCACACAGATCTACCCAAATTACTTGGTATAGCCAGGAGGGTCGGTTGAGGGGCCTAACGCCGAGAGAGACCCGGAAAGAAAGAACAAAAAAACGGGCTTTCTCGGCAGTGGCCCCTCGCCTTTGGAATGGCCTTCCATCAGAGATCCGCCTGGCTCCCTTGCTGGGTGTTTTTAAGAGCCATTTAAAAACTTGGCTCTTCAGGCAGGCTTTCCCTCATGTCAATTCTTGAATTCTATCTTTTCTGTTCTTTTATTCCCCATCTTGATCACACTATATTAATGTTCAAATATGTTTGGATTGAAGCTTAGGTCCTGAAAACACCTGTTTGCGAGCACGGAGGGAGCTGTCAAAATCATCGTCTAGTGAAAATTGGTTTGCGAAGCAGGGACCAAACATTGTCCAGCGAAATTCCCTCATAGGAATCAGTTTTGCGAATCGCTATAGCGATCGCAAAAAGTCAATGTCTAGCGAAAAAACTGTCATGCGGGGTAACTGCCTAGCGAGGCGCCAATGTACGCACGCTCAAAAATAATCCACAAAGCACTTTCTTGATAAAGCTGCAGGAAATGTCCAGTGGCCTGAGATTGTTCTTTTCTTAAAAGCTGCTTGCTGCCAACACAAGGGAAGGCTCGCTTTCGCCAGGGACCATTCTTGCCCCGATTTTTTTTGCAAACCAAAAGACGTGCCCACATCCTTGGTTGGACCCTGGCATGTCTCTGTCTCCTCCGGCACCTTGAGCAGGAGGGATCTGCCTTCGGTGCCTGGGCGAAGGGAAGGACCGCGATGGGGGAAGTCATCGTTTCCTCGTTCCTCGGTTGCTAGATGGCAGGGGATACGGGCCCAGGATTGTGGGCCAGGAGCTAAGCGGACGGATTGGGGGCGGTGTGTGTGGACTTGATTTGTTTGAAATGTCATGCCCGAAGAGAGCTTTGGTGGATGCCTTGGACTGCCTGAAAGAGGAACACGTGGGTCCTCGCTCCAATCAAGCCTGAACGATCTCTGCAGGCAAACCTTGAAACGGAGACTGTCCTTCTTTTGGAGTCCAAAAGGCAGGATTCTCTAGAAAAGATGGTAATGCAACAGGAAAAGAGGAAAGACCCAATACGAGATAGACTGGCTCCCCTAAAGGAAGCCCCCAGGTGTGAGTCTACAAGAGCTGAGCAGGGCGGTTGGAGGACAGGGCATTTCGGAGGTCGCTCATTCATGGGGTCAGGCAGAAATGCTATGTGGGGTGTACTTTTCCAACTGATTTTTAACATTTTGGCAACTTTGGCAATGCTGCGTGGGGTGTACTTTTCCAACTGATTTTAACATTTGGCAACTTTAGAATTGCAAAAGGGGCAGGGACCCCAGGGGGTGATCTAGTCCAGCCCGCTGCCGATAGAGGGATCCATCCCGGACGGACAAGACAAGCCATCTCTTGGATGTTGTTCCTAAAACAGAATCCTTAGGACATTCCACGGCGGGCAGGGTTCTGCTTCCCAAATGGGGTTGATTGGCACCTGCAGGGTCTTCGTCCTCCTTATTTCCCAACGGGATTCTGCTCTCGTATATTTAGGGCAGGGGTCCCCAACCTGGAGGTTCCCAGATGTTCTAGGACTCAGACCTCCACTACTCGCCGGCCAGGGTTTTCTGGGAACTGTAGTCCAAAAATATCTGAGGACCCCAGGTGGAGAACCATTGATCTTGGGTCATTGGGGGTGAGAAGGCATTCAAAGCTCCAACCACATCGCTCAGGGATTGAGGTCTCTCCGGCTACAGAGCCAGAGGGTTGGGAGTTCGATTCCCGCGCGGGGCCTTCCTCGAGAAGGGGCCGGACTGGGCGATCCAGACGGTCCCTTCCAGCTCTGCCGTTCTGTGGTGGTGGGGATGATGATGATGATGACTGGCAGAAGCAGGGCAGATGCCTTCCTATGATGAAGCAGTGCAAAGAGCAGCACCCTTGAACAGTCTGGAAAGAGGGCAGCAGGAGTGCCTTTATCATGGGCAGAGTGCCCTTGGGCAAAGCTGCTCCTCTCGTGCACTTAACACCCCCCCTTTTCTTGCTGCCCCAAGTGAGCTTCCAGGACAGGGGTGGAGAGTGGCATTTGTGATCCAGAAGGCCTGGGTCCCCATCTTCCACTAATCCCCCTGGCTTGGGGGATTAACGGGGTCGGGTGGGACCTGGTTGTGAGCCTGCACTAATTAATGTTTGCCAAAGAGATTATTGGGTGTTTGTGTGTGCTTGGCCAAGGGAGTGTGGGGCTTCGAGATGGTGGGGGTGGCCGGGGGAGGGGGAGGATTATCTGGGCTGTTGAGGAGGGGGAACGTCAGAGAGAAGGCGGACCGTCCCCTTCTCCAGCCCTTCTCGGCTCTCCTTTCATGGCGCCGGGTGACAAAGGGCAGAGAGGACCTCAGATTTCTGCTCCCGTTCCTGGTCAGTCTCCAAAGAGCCTTCTGGGGACTCCTCGGCTGGTAGAAATGCCACACACACACGTGCACACACACTTGCAATACCTCCATGACCCCAGAACAAACTTGGGTGCCTTTAATGGGGACACTGGGAGAGAGCCTTGTCTGTGGCTGCTCCTTTAGACTCTGGAACTCCCTGCCACTGGACGTCAGGCCGGCCCCATCTTGGTAGTTCTTCTGAAAGCAGGCAAAAGACCTTTGCCTTCAGGCCAGGCTTTCCTTCAATGGCTGGCTGGCTGAGTGGGTTGTTTTTTTGTTTGTTTGTTCCTTTGAATGTGTTTTTTGGTGTTGCTGATGTTTTTCTGGTTTTGTATTCACTGACTCTTTTAGCATTCTATACTCATTGTTACCAACTTAGATTCTGCCTTTTAGTTTCTGTAAGCTGCCTGGGGTCATTTTTAAGGAGAAAAATATTTTAAATAAATTAATGAATGAATTTCCCAAATCCACTAGCCTGCTGCTCGCTCTCTCTCTCTCTCTCTCTCCCCCCCCCCCCGGGTTGCTTGCCCTCCCTACCTCTGGCTATTCAGAGGTAGACTGCCACTGAAGGAGAAGGCTCTTGTGCTCAATACATGTGGGCATCCCCCCATCCTTTATTAAGATCCTTGTGTCAGGGAGTTCCACAGATTAACGTGTTTGGTGAAGATAGATGGAGAACAATAAATATATATATATATTTAGCACATATTCACTCCACATTTCCTCAGATCAGAGCACATGGCCCTCTTCCACACGAGGTTTATCTTTATGGCAGCCTTGCCAGGTAGGTCAGCTAAGAGCGAGAGGGAGAGGAAGTAACTGAGCTAATCTTGTCCTGCTTTTCTGTGGCAGGTCTTTGAAGGGGATGTTTTTGTTTTAACTTTTGTAACAAAACTTTTTTGCGCCCTAATTTTACAAAAAATACAAACGGAAAAGTAATTTGTTATGGGTAACTGCATTACTTGTAACTCATTACTTCTCCGCTTTTGATGGGGATGTAGCTTGTACGTCCGGGAGTCCATGGTGGCCTCTGCCTGTTGTTGGGAACTGAAGGGCCCAATCCACCAGGAATTCTTCAGCTGCACCAGCCCCGAAGTGAAATGAGAATAGCCAAGGATAGAAGAACTTGAAAAGGTCATCAAGTTATAAGGATGGAGACCTTAAGACCAAGATCAACCACATTCTTGTATTTGTTATCGTTATATATGGGTCTAAAAGTGGGAGAGTTAAGACAGCTGAGGGGGGAGGGGGAATTGTTTGAAAGATGGTGCTGGAGGAGTACCAGGCTCCAGGAAGACGAACAAGTGGGTCCTAGACCAAATCAAGCCTGATTTATCTCTGGAGGCAAAAATGATAAAACCAAAGATGTCGTGAGAAGCCAGGATTCTCTGGAAAAGACCTTCATGCTGGGAAAAGTTGGAAAGCAGCAGGAAAAGAGGAGGACCCAATACGAGATGAACACACTTCCTAAAGGAAGCCGCACGCTTAAGTTGCCAAGAGCTGAGCCGGGCAGGTGAGGGACAGGACAATTTGGCGACGGCTCGTTCATAGGGGCGCTGTGGGTCACAGGCGTCTTGACAGCATGTAATAACGACAAACTGCTTACGGTACAGCCGGGCTCCCTCCGCCAAGAGTCGGACACGACTGAACGACTAAACGGACGAACGCTTATGGTACAGCAGGGCTCCCTCCACTGTAGGAGAGGATCCTCTTGGCTGTGCAGGCTGCCAGCGGGGATTCTGGGAAATGAAGTCCAACTCCCTCCCAACCCAACTTTGTTTGGAAGCGCGGCCCCCACCGGCAGGGTCCCAGGCAAACCTTGTCTTGCCGAGGCCCTGAGCCGAGAGGCGGTGGAGGCCTTTGGCTTGCCTTTAGGGGCTCCCCTGAACTCACGACGGGGATGCCTCTGCTGGGCAGGGGAGGGAAGGCCCACACACACACAAACATTTCGTTAGTCGAGAGATCTCCTGCCTCCTTTGATTTCCTGGCTGGCGTCCTGAAAAAAAGAAGGTGCATTAGTAGCACGAAAACCACAACACAGCCGTGTGGCCGAAGGCCTTTGTACAAAACAAAAGGGGGGGGGGACTTTTGGCGTGCAAACTTTATAGTGTGGTATATAGTCCAGGAACACCGGAGGGTGGTGGAGGAGAGATCTGCCACTTTAAATATTGCCTTTTCACAATATAAGCCAAGTTGGGCCCTTTTCAAGCAGGAAGGCAGGATAAAAACATTTTAAATGAATACATTAGTCACAGCAGGTCCTCCTCAGAACCTAAAA